GTTTTTCCAGGAGTGGGAGCGCGTGGCCTGCACGGCTGCTGCTCCCCGCGTGGCGCGCGAACCCGCGGCAGGGCGTGTCATTCACCGCGGCCGTGGGCAGAGGATCGCGGGGTGAAGCTCGTTTTTAAGTCTTCCGTTGTTACCCTCAGCCATTAACTTCTATGTGCAGTAGGAGAGAGGACGCCATTTTTTTCAAAATGGAGAACTACCATGCTCTTAAAAAAGTCTTTTAGAGGCATGAAAAGTCAATTTCATTACATTAAAATCACTAAAAGATAGGAAAAAAGTGAAATTCACATATCAAAAAAATGATCTTTTGGAGAAATACTCTATTTTGGTTTGAAATATTTGTGAATTTTCCACGCATGTGTCAAGACACATAGGGAGTTTATTCATTCAATTAAGTTAAAAAATTAGATAACCTGGTAAATTCAAAAAGTGGTGAAGACACGTTGTTTCTGTCTCTTTAGCCGAGAAAACGCGGATGCCTCCTGCGTGCGAGCACCGCGTAGACGGCTCAGAACCCGAGGTTTTCTCACTCGCTGCCGTGGCCGGCGCTGGGGTGGCTCGGGAGGGCGCGGCCTGTTTTCATTCCCGCTCAGCCAGCGCCACGCAAACGCCCGGCGGCTCTGCCCCCTGGTGGATCCTGGCAGGCACTGGGAGCAAATGTGAATATAAAAAAAAAATGAAAGATTTAAGAAGTACCCATGATCTCCAGAGGGCGTTTAATTCTAACTGGAGGCTTTTTTTTTTTTCTTTTTCAAGTGGGCTGTTGGGTAAGAATAATGCAAGACTGGCGATGGAGAAACGCACACTGCATTTGCCTTTCGGGATCTGTGATGACTGAGTCCTTCCTCAGCGCTGCCACAGGGAGCACATTCACATGCGTGTCACAAAAATACTGGGATTAGGTCAAAAAACCAACCTTTCTGGAGAAAGCCACAAAGGCTCTGAGACCAAGCCTTCACCTAGATGACACCTGACAGTCCAGAAGCCGAGATCCTGTGAGGTCTCTGGAGAGCTCAGCTGTGACCCACACTGTATGGAAGGGCAGGCAGTGGGGTCAGGCAGGTGAAGAGAATTGTCCACTGTTCAGCATCATCAACCTAAAACCCACATGCTGTTGCTGCAAAACCACTGACACTAGAAGCCACAAACCACAGAAACAGAGGCCCTTTATGGTCCTCAGTGTGCAACTGGTGACTTTTCAGAAGATGAAGATTAAACATACAAATCATAATTCAAAGTATCAGAAGAAATACTAGGAGATTTTTAACCCCTGCTACCATGACTTTTTTTATTTTTGCAAGATTCGTGAATTATTGTAAATAAGCTCACAGAGGCCAAAGTGCTCCCCTGAAGTCATCCAGAAAGAGGCAGTCTGCTAATCCCCACATCTGAGGCAGCTGTGTTTTCTTATGATAATACAAAAATTAAAGATAAGGGAGAGGGAGGGACAGAAAGAGACAGACAGACAGAGAGAATTGAAGCTGAGAGGAAACACTTTCATGTTTTGCCAGCAAAATTCCCAGTGAACATTCCCATCACCAGTGGGTGAAATCCAAGGCCCTGGCTCCAGGATCCTGCTCCTTCCTTTGGTGACTCCTGTTCAAATTTGTCATAAAAACAACATGAAACTTGTTACACTTCTCTGGACAAGTCATTATGCTCAGGCTTTTGGCTCACAAGCTCCACTTCCCTGGACACCCCTTCGCCCTAAGCTTCAAGTAATTCAGCTTCACTCTTCAGAGAAGAGCTCAGGTGTCACTTCCTCTAAGGACCCTCCCTAGACACCTCTCCAGTAGAAGAACCCCCACATTGCTCTTTGCACCTCTGTCCCTCGAGGTGCTGCTGTCCTGTGGAGGGTGGGAACCCGGGAACTAGAGCCCCTCTCGTGCTGGAGACACTCGGCACTCATTAAGTGTGTGCTGGGTGGATACAAGTGTGGTGAGCTTGCATAGCCTTGGAATGTGTACTCTCATGTCTGGCATAGAGCCCATTTTCATTCTTTGTAAAAGGAGTAAGTGGGGTTGGATGACCCATACTCTCTTTTCAATTCAGAAGTCCACTATGAGCCTGGCATCAAATAGCTTCTCAGCCAGTGCGAGGCCAGGACCCAGGTTTTTCAATGTGTCTGTTCCCCCACAGAATGGGGAAAGCACAGAGAAATGGGACCAGCTCTTCTGCCTGCCATCCAGTGCCAGCCAGCAGCCCCAGGTTCACAAATCCAAGGCAAAGACACCTGCAGGAGATCTTGGTTATTTATTAGCTGTGATTGGGCCGGAAGGGAAGTGTGTTCACTTTTAATTTTCCAGTGAATAGCATGAGACAGTAAAGTTTAAAATGTGGTTGTTATTTTTGTTTTCTGAGAAGGTAAAAGAAAAACATTTTTACCTTCTCATCTTTGGAGCCACTGGCATTAGCTGTGGACCCGGTAGTTTAAGAAAACTTGAAAATGAACTATGTGAACCAGTATTCTCCAAAGTAATATTTTGATAAATACTGCAATTCTGTTTACAGCCAAACCATTGCTTAAGAGGGCAAAACTCTAGAAGATCGGAAAACACACTCCTGAAAAAAGGTGGCAATGCACCTAAATTCAGCAAACTGCAGGGGCATGTGCTGTTCTACCCCAGATCAGAGTGTGTCAGTCACCACTTGATGCCACTCCCAGACTATCAACTTCAGAACATCTAGGTGTAAAGGTCTGTACAGAAGCCATAACATAGTAATGCAAATAATTTTACATTATTAATAATAATCAATTACATTATAACATTCCATGATGTAAAGGCTATTCAAACATGTGGCCTTGGTTTCTGTGGGCAGTGTCTCGTCATAGAAAGGTAGTGCATTCCTGCTAAATCACAGACAAAACGGGCCTCCAGGAGCTCAGGCTGCATCAGCAGCTTCTCATCTATGTCCTTCACTGCATGAGGTTGTAATTGACTTTGAAAGCTCCTTTCATTCTAGTTTCATCAACAGAGCTAGTATTTCATGAGAATCTACTACATACCAGGTTCCAGAAAGCCAAATGCCTTTTGTTTGTTATTTTTCACTAAATACAAATCACAACTCTCTTCTCATTACTCACGCCACAAAATTTAGCTGAGGGAGATTGAGTGACTTCCCCAGGGTCGCACAGCTACTAAGAGCAGGCTCGTGTTTAGATTCATGTCTGAATACTGAACACAGAAATAAACCAGCGGAGACATCATGTATCCCAAAAGCCTACTCAAGCCATTTGATCTTATTTTAAGGAAATTCTTTTTTTTTTTTTTTTCCAGAAGGTTTAAGGAAACTTGAAAATGAACTATGTGAACCAGTATTCTCCAAAGTAATATTTTGATAAATAGTGTAAAGAGGAAATAGATGAGCCTGGATATAGAAGCAGGAGCGGAAATAGATGAGGCTGGATATAGAAGCAGGGCTAAAGCCATGTCTATTGTGCTAAAACATGACCAAAACACCAAAAGCATTGACAACAAAAGCCAAAATAGACAAATGGGACCTAATCAAACTCCACAGCTTCTGCACAGCAAAAGAAACAGTCATTAGAGTGAATCAGCAACCAACAGA